CCGTTACCTGGCTAGCGTTGACACCAGAGCAACCATACTTGCAAGTGTTATGTGAGTTGGGACGGGGACATTGTTGGTGGGTGATTGAAAGTGATTACAACTGATAAGGGCTGATAAGGCGCGTCAGAACGCAAAAGTCGTCGATTCCGTTACCTGGCTCGCGTTGACACCAGAGCAACCATACTTACAAGTGTTATGTGGGGTGGGACGGGGACATTGTTGGTGGGTGATTGAAAGTGATTACAACTGATAAGGGCTGATAAGGCGCGTCAGAACGCAAAAGTCGTCGATTCCGTTACCTGCGTTGACACCAGAGCGTCCATACTTACAAGTGTTATGTGGGGTGGGACGGGGACATTGTTGGTGGGTGATTGAAAGTGATTACAACTGATAAGGGCTGATAAGGCGCGTCAGAACGCAAAAGTCGTCGATTCCGTTACCTGGCTCGCGTTGACACCAGAGCAACCATACTTACAAGTGTTATGTGGGGTGGGACGGGGACATTGTTGGTGGGTGATTGAAAGTGATTACAACTGATAAGGGCTGATAAGGCGCGTCAGAACGCAAAAGTCGTCGATTCCGTTACCAGCTCGCGTTGACACCAGAGCAACCATACTTACAAGTGTTATGTGGGGTGGGACGGGGACATTGTTGGTGGGTGATTGAAAGTGATTACAACTGATAAGGGCTGATAAGGCGCGTCAGAACGCAAAAGTCGTCGATTCCGTTACCAGCTCGCGTTGACACCAGAGCAACCATACTTACAAGTGTTATGTGGGGTGGGACGGGGACATTGTTGGTGGGTGATTGAAAGTGATTACAACTGATAAGGCTGATAAGGCGCGTCAGAACGCAAAAGTCGTCGATTCCGTTACCTGGCTCGCGTTGACACCAGAGCAACCATACTTACAAGTGTTATGTGGGGTGGGACGGGGACATTGTTGGTGGGTGATAGAAAGTGGTTACAACTGATAAAGGCTGATAAGGCGCGTCAGAACGCAAAAGTCGTCGATTCCGTTACGTAGCTTGCGTTGACACTAGAGCGTCCCTACTTACAAATTCTATTTGTAGTGGTACGTGCACATTGTATCGTATGACCAGCTTACTTAATAGTCGATTGCATAAACTCAATCAAGTCTTCAGCAAATGATAACTTTCATTTCCTATCAAGAAAGCCCAAACTCATTAAACCGCTAATCCTTTCGGGGTTCTAAATAATGGTGAATGTAAATAAATGATAAGCCTTAGCTCCTCACTTATGTAAATAGGCATATTTCATTTTCATTTTGAGACTGACAGCAATCCTATTCACCGCTAAATTATCTGAATTCAAGAAGAATGCTGGATGTTTACAGTTGTGAGATAATATACCAGTTCAGCTCCAGACGTTATCACGCGTATTCTCGATGGACTTCAGCGAAACTGGGAAAGGTCTAACACATTCAATAGTGAGGTGGTTAATGGAGTACCTCATGCTGATATTCCATGGGTCCTCCAGTTTCGCTAAAGCCTGCCGTGTGATGCGCGCGATAGCGGGCGGAGCAAAACTGGTATTTTTGTACGTGAATAGTCACATATGGACACTACTGCAGTGACTCTTCTGCTCTGAGGTGCGCCATGCACTCGTTTGTGGTTAGTAGTTGGAGAAGCACTCGAAAGTTATGCCTCTCACCTACGTATTGCGACGTTGACCCTTGCAAATACGACCCCCCCCTTTTCGGTCGGCCGAATACGACCCTCACCGTTTGACTTTGTCCAACGGACGGTTGATTCTGCTTATAGGTACATCTTCTGCAGTGAGTAACCTTGAAAATTACTGCAATTTTGAGATTTAGTTTTACATCCAAGATGTTTTATGGTTCTACCAGTTTGGTCCCCTGTCAACCGCCGGAACCTTTACGACTTAGAATGACATACCAAAACCTAACCTCACCCCCAGGTCTGTTGGTGATTGGTTTTCCGCTTCCCTCCCCAAACACCCCTCCCTCCCTCCACTGCCCTCCAGCTGCCACTGCAGCACCATGTGGAATGACGGAAGTGTGCTAAGCAGGTGTTTATATAGCCCTAAGAGTGTTATCACAACTATCCTGCTACAAAACATTGATATCTCAAATCCTGTAAGCTACCCGATTTGTTAGCGGTTTGTTTATCCCATGAGCTTCCTTCTCACTCACTTCATTTTGCGGACGGACAGACACATACATACATACAGTCGATATCCGAAAGTTGGGGTAGGCGTGTCACCGGAAGTGCACTTGATAGAAGTTGCGTGGATAAGCTGTTGCCAGCATGCTTTGCTGATATGCCGCGATGTATGTTGGGAGCAACTTCGAGTTTTCGAACAAATTTTAGGTGGCTGTATCATTATTGAACGCAGTGTACATACACACATACATACATACATACATACATACATACATACATACATACATACATACATACATACATACATACATACATACATACATACATACATACATACAAACCGACACACAAAGTTAGCGCTTATAAAATACCAGATTAGTCCCCCGTCAACCGCCGGGACCTTCCTTTCCTGCGCAAGCTTTCTATCCTCCGCTATGGTCCCTTCCTCCTGTGACACCAACACCTCGTGGAAGTGACGCGTATGCAACACAATGGTGTTTCAAACAGTAGAAGGGACACAATCATGATATGACGGTAGATTTTTCGCTTCCCTTCCTCATCCTCCCTTCCTCTCTCCACTGCCCTCCAGCTGCCACTGCAGCACCATGTGGAATGAACGGAAGTGTGCTAAGCAGGTGTTTATATAGCCCTAAGAGTGTTATCACAACTATCCTGCTACAAAACATTGATATCTCAAATCCTGTAAGCTACCCGATTTGTTAGCGGTTTGTTTATCCCATGAGCTTCCTTCTCACTCACTTCATTTTGCGGACGGACACACATACATACACACACACACACACTCACACACACACATACAGATACACAAACCGACACACAAAGTTAGCGCTTTATAAAATATTGTAATAGAAGGATTCAGTAGGCCACTTGCTTTTATGTGAATAATTTTAGATAGACGATTTTCCTCAGGCGGTCTATAAAAAGTTCTCCACTCGCGACGAAGCCGAAGAATATTTCAACGCACGGCAGCCAAAGAAGATTGAGCGTAGGGTGTTTTGTTATTCCTATTCCCATGTTAATTTATTATCTGAGTTGGTTTGAGTGCATCATCTAGCAGCTCTGCTGATCCAGTAACGTCATCAGAAGTCGCGTAGAGTAGTCGATAATCTACACCATAATTTTTGTGAACTCCATAAATAAATAAATAAATATGGAATGCACAGCTTTTCAGTAGGTTGAACGAGTCTCAATTTGTCGCAATGGTCTCAATTTCTGCTGAGACCCATTGGACTATTGTGGCATTTCCACTCAGGACCAGCCTTTATTCTCTACGGTGAAAGTAACCGCTAGCTTATACCTGTTCCGATCTTAACACATTCGCGTCGATGGCAGCCCATGTGGCCTGTCAACAAATAACTGCTCGTTATGACTAACACTGGTCTTGCTCGGCTCCTTATTGACGAGTGGGCATAGGCGTTGGTGGTCACTGAAGTTTGTTGTTCACTGGTTTTCGAGGGTTACACTGAGGCATGGCTCTGAACTTGGATGTTTCGACTTGATATTGAAGATGGAGAGCAGCCATGGTTCAATGGTTTTAGTAATGGATTCAATACAAAGTAATGAAGGAGAGCTCAAAACTGTGCACACCGATCGCGATGCATGTTATATGTGGGAGTTTTGAAGTGCATGTCCGGCGATGCACGCGAGCTGCAATTTGTTAAGGGCGCGCGCCGGGATAAGGCAAGCTCACCTGTTTCATCCCAATCACGGTAGACATGCGCACAAGCGTTGATGACAGGAACTCCAACGGCAATGTGAACATTCTTCCGTTCAGCGACTGCGTCCAGTTCTCTCTGCGGAGCGCGTCATCCTTGCTCGAGGCATGGATGCGACCACTACATCTAACAGTGCATTTCGTGGGTAGCGTGCGCCAATGTTCATGCACATTGGTTATTAAGAGCTCAGTTGGTTAAAACAATCCAAGAAGATCCTGTACCAATTTAATGGTTCAATGATGCGACTAATCTCGTCTTCTGATCCTTTCCTCTCCGAATCACTACGTTATAGCATGTTAGAGAAGCTCTGATACCTAATCTCCCAATTCTTCAAATATTGATCTTGAAAGCAGCTTGGCAAGTGTTGGAGGGAGTAAAAGTAAAACTTGGAATAACGTCTTAATCGTAAGAGCCGAGTTCAAATAAGCGACTGACGAAACCAGAACATCGGCAAATGCACATCCGGAAGCGACTACTCCAGTGCAGTTGACGCAAGTTCATTATTTCGGTGCAGGTTTCTAGGAAATGTATCATGGTGTGCTTCTGAGTTAAAGGCAAAAGTCGGGCTCAGTAAGGGGTATTACCAGTTGGCGCCGCACGCATTGCGCGCGCAACACAGATCTGCGGCGAATTTTGATGGTGCGACGAAAATTTTCAAATTTGGCTTGATACACCACGAATATCTGAATTCTCAGCTAAATTCTATCCGCTCCATCATCGACGGCTTTCAACCTCTTTTTCTTCGTCAACCATTATCTTTTTCCCGGTCTCCGGGACTTCTTGGAGCCGAGTTATGAATTTTCGTGGCAAACTCCGCCCACTTTGGTCAAGCCCCGCCCACCGATGACAGCTGGCCTCCACTCCTCCACCCACCTCTATCCACCTTTTTCCGGCTCCTAAGACTTCTCCGGCCCGAATTATGAGGACTTGTAGAAAACGCTGTACACTTCAGAGCGCGCTCCGCCCATTGTGGGCGGCCTCCGCCCACGTCATGTATGCTGGGAACACCTTAGACATTGCTCCCCTACACCAATTTGTTTTCTGCTCTGTAGGCTTTCTCCCAACCGAGTTATGAAATTTTTCATAAAGCACTGCTTTTTTGGAGAACGCCCCGCCCACCGGGGGTGGGTCTCCCTAATTCGATGTGACTTACCAATGCACACCTTTACCCACTTTTTGGCCCAGTTTCGAGGTGTTTTGTCACTGAAATTGAAATCTTGGTCGTCGGTACAGTTCATTTCGATGCACGCCACGCCCACTGTGGGCG